CGGTTTTTCTCTGCAGATGATGAGGTTGTAGGATGTGATACATCTGAAATACACAATTGAGTTTAGAGTTACAGTGTGTCCATGTGTTTGTGTAAAAACAATTATGTTTATGAAGGCCAAAAGCAAAAACGGACAGTATGTGAGCCCTTCACAATCTTAAAAGAAAAAAGTGACATAAAGTCATGGACAGATACCCAAGTAATAATTAAAAATATCTAACAATATGAATTATAAATTCATTGTCTCTTTTACTTAGTGGAGAAGAGGAGATACGTTTCCACAGCTTAGCAGAGCTGCACACATTTATATGTGACCAAAAAAAAAAGGAGATAAGAACATGCCAGTTACATTTTTAAAGTTACATTTGTATTTAAATTTTAAGAATGAAATCATTTACCTGTTGAGAGTGTGTTGACAGTCTGTAGCTGGATCACTGAACTCCAGAAAATCAGTAATGAGGAGCTTTGTCAGTCACAGATTTGAAAAACCAAAGGGCGGGAATAAAGAACCCTAAACTCGAACACAAAAAAACATTTCAGCATGAAAGGGTTCTTCAGAATGCTATGGTTCTAAATAAAACCATTACTGCATGTAAAGAACCTTTAAAGAACCATCTTTTTTTAGAGTGGAGGTCTGCCCTTTGTTTCCTTGTCCCACATTTCTTGCCACATTTTATTTATGTTTTCTTTAATTCTTTGTTTTATCTCTGCTTTACTCAGTGTAAATACAGAAAAATCACATCCCTGACAATTATTGCTGACTTTTATACTCAGAATTGCCATATTGTTGTTTCTGCCTACGGACACTGCAGCAACATTACCATATTGTTGACATTTAAAACATCTGATTAATTCTGGCACATATGAGCATATAACTGAATGTGCTCTCTGTATGGCATTTTATCCTAATTAGAATGAAGCATTACAGAAAGACTATCTACTTTCTCTTTATTTTATACACATTTCAATAGTTTTACTTTACTAGCCCTCTCAGTGCTACTTTGTATTGTACTGGTGAACACAGCAGGAATTTCAGAGAATAAATTAACCAAGCTCTTATATTCAGTACTGTACAATTCACCAACTGGCCAAGCATTCATTTTATGCCTTGTGCTACTTTCTGTGTTTGTTTTTCATTGTCAGTGGTAGGTTTTTTCTACTTTTCATTTCTCAGGATCTTCTTCTTAAAGGGGTCCTATTATGCTCTTTTACAAAGTCTTGATTTTGTTTTGGGGGTGTACTAGAACGTTGTTCGAAAAACACATTATTTTTTACATATTTCACATTATTACAACACCTCTCTCCCCAGTCTGAACGGCTCGAATAGTCCCTGTATCAAATGAAGGTCCGCCTTCCGAAATGTGCTGTGATTGTTAGCTTGCCAGTGTGTGTTGTGATTGGCAGCACTCGGAAAAATCACATCCCTGACAATTATTGCTGACTTTTATACTCAGAATTGCCATATTGTTGTTTCTGCCTACGGACACTGCAGCAACACTACCATATTGTTGACATTTAAAACATCTGATTAATTCTGGCACATATGAGCATATAACTGAATGTGCTCTCTGTATGGCATTTTATCCTAATTAGAATGAAGCATTACAGAAAGACTATTTACTTTCTCTTTATTTTATACACATTTCAATAGTTTTACTTTACTAGCCCTCTCAGTGCTACTTTGTATTGTACTGGTGAACACAGAAGGAATTTCAGAGAATAAATTAACCAAGCTCTTATATTCAGTACTGTACAATTCACCAACTGGCCAAGCATTCATTGTATGCCTTGTGCTACTTTCTGTGTTTGTTTTTCATTGTCAGTGGTAGGTTTTTTCCACTTTTCATTTCTCAGGATCTTCTTCTTAAAGGGGTCCTATTATGCTCTTTTACAAAGTCTTGATTTTGTTTTGGGGTGTACTAGAACGTTGTTCGAAAAACACATTATTTTTTACATATTTCACATTATTACAACACCTCTCTCCCCAGTCTGGCATGAACGGCTCGAATAGTCCCTGTATCAAATGAAGGCCCGCCTTCCGAAATGTGCTGTGATTGGTTAGCTTGCCAGTGTGTGTTGTGATTGGCAGCACTCGGCGCCTGGTCAGGAAATGTCACGCCCCTTACCATAGCCGCCTGCAAGCTTCAGTGTAAATATTGCATCAAAATCAAATCAATTTGAGCGTGATTTAAACCCGGATGATTGTAACCACTCTAAGTTTGTCTGCCTTGGGAAAGCTAGCGTGTCTCTGACATAGTGATAACACTCGTTGCCTTCTCTAGTGCAGCTCAACCAGGTCTCATCCCATTCGTCGATATTTGTGATATCACAAATCCCGGAAAATATGCGTTGTAGTCCAAACGAGTCATTCGTTGTAGTTTTTGAAAAATTATTTCTGTTAAATAAAATATCTCCTTTTGAAGTGGACTTTGAGCTTTGTAACTTTGCAGATCTTTTTTATGCTCAAACAGCAACATTACAGACTAACTAAAGTTGAAAAAGTGAAAAAGCATAGGACCCGTTTAACAGCAGGTAAAAAAAACGTGTGCTTTGCTGCCATCTGCTGTTTGCATAGAGCAGAGATTAACACTTTATGTAGAGTTCTGACCAAGTGACCATAATGTTATTTCTACATTTCTTTTATTTTCACTGTACCTGGATGGAAGACCACCTGAAAATTAAAGGTAGCACTCCACTACCTGACTTGAAAAAAATGGTATTTTTACCATTTTAAGCAGAGCACAATGCACTCTAAGGATCTTTACAGGAGTTTGATAACCAGTAGAGCCAATGCAGATACACTTCCATGGCCCTCATGTGCCCTACTGTCATGAATGTCACTATCAATAGGTGTATGTGAAAACCGTCAGTGTAAAGACAGACAGTCTCTGAAGGGAGGTGCTAATAGAGGAGTTTCTTTGCACTCAATGCAGAGTTTCAGGAAATGTCACGCCCCTTACCATAGCCGCCTGCAAGCTTCAGTGTAAATATTGCATCAAAATCAAATCAATTTTAGCGTGATTTAAACCCGGATGATTGTAACCACTCTAAGTTCATCTGCCTTGGGAAAGCTAGCGTGTCTCTGACATAGTGATAACACTCGTTGCCTTCTCTAGTGCAGCTCAACCAGGTCTCGTCCCATTCGTCGATATTTGTGATATCACAAATCCCGGAAAATATGCGTTGTAGTCCAAACGAGTCATTCGTTGTAGTTTTTGAAAAATTATTTCTGTTAAATAAAATATCTCCTTTTGAAGTGGACTTTGAGCTTTGTAACTTTGCAGATCTTTTTTATGCTCAAACAGCAACATTACAGACTAACTAAAGTTGAAAAAGTGAAAAAGCATAGGACCCGTTTAACAGCAGATAAAAAAAACGTGTGCTTTGCTGCCATCTGCTGTTTGCATAGAGCAGAGATTAACACTTTATGTAGAGTTCTGACCAAGTGACCATAATGTTATTTCTACATTTTTTTTATTTTCACTGTACCTGGATGGAAGACCACCTGAAAATTAAAGGTAGCACTCCACTACCTGACTTGAAAATTTTTTTATTTTTACCATTTTAAGCAGAGCACAATGCACTCTAAGGATCTTTGCAGGAGTTTGATAACCAGTAGAGCCAATGCAGATACACTTCCATGGCCCTCATGTGCCCTACTGTCATGAATGTCACTATCAATAGGTGTATGTGAAAACCATCAGTGTAAAGACAGACAGTCTCTGAAGGGAGGTGCTAATAGAGGAGTTTCTTTGCACTCAATGCAGAGTTTCACTAAACTGCTTACAGACCAGCAGCACACTCTTCTTCAGCTCTTCTGTCGCTTTAAACATTTTGTCTACTTCTGTTGTGTTAGTTTTACATGTGACCTTTTTAGAATTAAGGACTGTCCTAATGGAAATTATTGACACATTTATGTTCTTCTGTTTGTGCTCATGGAGTCTGGCTGGTAAGTTTTATTATTTAAAAATTAGGCTTTACTTCTGTGTATATTATCACTTGTCCACATACATCGTGTTCTTTATTGTTTGCATAATTAATTTTGCTTGTAATGTTTTCAAGTTTTATCAGATTAATATACTCAGATTCATGTGTGTTTTGCTGCTGTTCTGTAAGTTACCATTTTTCTCTTCCTGTCAAATAAAAGGTTTCATTTATTGCAAATTCCTGAAATGTAGCCTACACTGAAATCAGTGCAGAGCAGCTGTTTTGCAGGGAAACATTGTTAAGTAGTTAATAAATAACAACAATTCCAAGTCTTTTGCTGAGAAAGTGTTTCTGTTTGTTGATCAGGTGTGTTTGGTGTTGATGCAGTGCAGTCAGTATCAGTGACGAAGGGAGATTCTGTTACTCTAAATGCGACTGATATACAGCCGAATGATGAGATCGAGTGGCGGTTTGGACAAATTCTCATTGCTGAAATCAACATAAAGATCAAAATGAGCATTTTTCATAATGATAGTGCTGATGGGAGATTCAGAGGCAGACTGAAGCTGGACAATGAGACTGGATCTCTGAGCATCACAAACACCAGAACCACAGACTCTGGACTTTATAAAGTATGCAGCAGCAGATTAGAGACACCGCTCAACACATTCAATCTTTCTGTCTATGGTGAGTAGAGAACTACTTACCCTGTTTCATAGATATAATATTTTGAAATTAATCACTATCACAATTACTAAGGATATACTCTAATACATAAAGATCTAAAACATCAGCTTTATCATTTAATAAAGTCATTCAGTAACACTTTAATTTAGTTTTAAATATTAAACTTACAGATATTAAAACTCTCATACTGATTTATTGTCTAACTCCCTAATATTTTCAGCTCATCTGCCTGTTCCTGTCATCAGCAGTAACTCTTCACAATGTTCTTCATCATCATCATCTTCATCACAGCAGAATTGTTCATTGCTGTGTTCAGTGGTGAATGTGGGTCATGTGACTCTCTCCTGGTACAAAGGAAACAGTTTATTGTCCAGCATCAGTGTGTCTGATCTCAGCATCAGTCTCTCCAGGAGATTCAGAGGCAGACTGAAGCTGGACAATGAGGCTGGATCTCTGAGCATCACAAACACCAGAACCACAGACTCTGGAGTTTATAAAGTATGCAGCAGCAGATCAGAGACACCGCTCAACACATTCAATCTTTCTGTCTATGGTGAGTAGAGAACTACTTACCCTGTTTCATAGATATAATATTTTGAAATTAATCACTATCACAATTACTAAGGATATACTCTAATACATAAAGATCTAAAAAAATCAGCTTTATCATTTAATAAAGTCATTCAGTAACACTTTAATTTAGTTTTAAATATTAAATTTACAGATATCACAACTCTCATACTGATTTATTGTCTAACTCCCTAATATTTTCAGCTCATCTGCCTGTTCCTGTCATCAGCAGTAACTCTTCACAATGTTCTTCATCATCATCATCATCTTCATCACAGCAGAATTGTTCACTGCTGTGTTCAGTGGTGAATGTGAGTCATGTGACTCTCTCCTGGTACAAAGGAAACAGTTTATTGTCCAGCATCAGTGTGTCTGATCTCAGCATCAGTCTCTCCACTCTGGAGGTGGAATATCAGGATAACAACACCTACAGCTGTGTGCTCAACAATCCCATCAGCAACCAGACCAAACATCTGGCCATTACTCAACTCTGTCAGACATGTTCAGGTACTTCAGTAGTGATAACAACAGCTACAGCTGTGTGCTCAACAATCCCATCAGCAACCAGACCACACATCTGGCCATTACTCACTGTCAGACATGTTCAGGTACTTCAGTAGTTATATTAAACTGGGGTGTGTTTATCTTAAAGCTCACCGTTTAATTATTGTAGTACAATGTTCCTTAATTGGACAAATTTACTGCAACCATCTGTTTCATTCAACCATGTTGATACAACATCATATATCCTTAATGATGTCAAGCAGGTGGTGGAGTAATAGCTTTTGCTAATTAATCGATTTAAGTCAAATTAATGGCCAACAGAAAGTTGTTCAATTTTATTTTTTATAATTTTTACATGCTCTATGTAATACAAGCAGTCAGCAGCTTTCTTAACAACAGGCTCTGTTCTTGCCAGCTATAGAATGGGTGGCCACAGGAGCAAGTAAAAATCCTGGGGTGGCACACTATAGGCCACATTTACATTGTAGTTCTTGATGCCCAGTTCCAATTTGTGGACTTTTTTTTTTCCTTTTTCTGATAACCAGCTTACATCTTTTAAAAGTAACCCATATCCAATATCTGCATTCGTACTATTCACTTGGCTAAACAACTCCGGGTAGACATTCTGACAGTTTGCAAGGCCTGTAAAACAAAACCAGCCTAATTGCCATTCTCCATTGCTGGAGGACTAGCTGAGCTTTGTGGTGATGGTGGCAAAACGAATCTTGACAGGAAAACAGTAAGCATCACACAGTCCATGCAGGGTGATGAAATTATTAAATCAGAGTCCATACAGTTTTTACTGCTGTCTAGAAACAGCGATGACGAAGGTACCAGGTGGGATAGGGTGAGAGTCAATGCCTCTGTTACCCAGTCAATCAATCAGTCCTCATGGTCCATATTCACTACTGCCTCGTCTGCTGATGTCGTGGGCTCGCACCCCTGGTCAGACTCACTGTGGAGTCAGCACTGTCCTCTTCTCCTCGGGCTCTGACTGACACGTTACAGCGAGCGTTACCTCTCCGTCTGTGGGTCTGGGTGTGCTCTGAACAGGGGCAAGACACTCTCCAGACACCTAATGATGGCATCCCTTCAGTTAAGTTCAAAAAGTATCTGGAAGGTCTACAGGATGGTAATTAGCCCCAATCCAGAACAATGCCTTCAGGGTTTCGTCATTTAAGGCAGCGGTTCTCAATTCCAGTCCTCGCGTACCCACCGCTCTGCACATTTTGTATGTTTCTCTTATTGCTTCAGACGTTTATATTTGACTAAGTGCCCTGCGAAGTGGACATTACCGGATATTCCTCCATCGTATATGTTCCATTTAAGTGTGCGAGACGTGAATTTAAATTGTATTTATTTACAGAGGTATATTATGTCCCACTTCACGCTTCTCTAGTAAGTTTCTTTTGTGTGTGAAGACGCTGCGGCGCAGAGCAAATCTGTAAATGAATATTCCGAAGTGAAGTAAACTTCAACAGATTTCCCCTGCTCAGGGAGTAGGGAGCAATGCACACTGTGTAGGGATCATGTCAATCGGAACACAGTTCATGCACGGAGCTCACTTCTAACCAGATGATCTGAATCAGGTGTGTTAACAAAGAGAGACGTGCAAAACATGCAGAGCAGGAGTACACGAGGACTGGGATTGAGAACCGCTGATCTAAGGGACTAGTGACGGCTAAATGGCAAAACACCTCAGTGTAGGTTACAAAATTGTATTCACTTTGAGGTCCGGTCATGGGTGACTACAGGAAGACAGATGAAGACGAAGAATAAAGTTCCAAACCTCAAAGTTTAATAGTACTGTCCCAAAAGGCAGAAGCAAAACACCCTTAATGCAAAGTGACAGTGACCGGACAATGAGTGAAAAAAAGGGTACAACATAAATAGGAACTCAAACAAGGTAATTAATGAGACACAGCTGATACAAATGAACTAATAATGACAGAAACCATGACAACCAAGGAGTGGCGGGAACATGAACAAAGGGAGACTATAGGAGTGAATGCAAACTAAAAGTCCATGATAACTAAAACAAACTGAACATAACTGACAATATTATGGAGATAGAATTGTGTCATAATTCCAAATAAATAGATTATGATCCACAAATAAATGTAAAGAGATTAACAAAAATTAAACATATTGACAAATAAAATGAGATCCACAAAATAAAGAGTTTCACAAACATGAATTAAATTCACAAATAAATAAAATGAGATTTGCAAATAAAAACATATTTGCAAATATCATTGAATGTCACAACCACAACTGTGCCTGGCATTCATTTGTGAAACGCGTCCTATGCATTTAAAGATCTCTGCACACATTTGTGGATCGCACACTGTGGATTTGCGAATGGCTTTCTGGGCATTTTTGGATTGCTATGCGCATTTGTGAATTGTGAAACATTTCTTGTGTCAAAACACTGACAATGCACAAATGCATGGACTCCACCCACCATCTACTCGAGCCAATCAGATAAACACCACATTTCACTGACCAATCGTAGATTGTAATCTATCATAATCTATTTATTTGGAATTATCCAACAATTTTATCTCCATACACTGTGAATGTAGCTTAAAACTATTATTACAATGTATTTTGTGTGTTTTGTTTTCTTTCTTTTCTTTTCTTTTCTTTTTTTGCCATTCACACTTGCAATATATGATTGGACGACAATCGGATATTCACAAATTTGAACAAAATTGGATTTGAACTGACAGTCTAAACCTGAACCTGACATCTGAAATGAACACTGAAAAAAAAATGGTTCGGCTGAAATTATTTCAAGGATATATTATTTTTACACACATTACACATTAAAATGACTTAGACTAACCTAATTTATTAACAGGTTTATTCAGTCACTTTAAATGATATTTTTGACTTGGATGAAGCCAATTATTAATTAATTGTTGCCACAAGAAGCACATTATTTAATTTAGCTTAAAATTTTTTTGTAGAATTCAAGTCAATTAGTATATCATGACATAAAATTGGTAAAGTATTTGTACAACCTGAGTTTTTTGTTGTAGATCAGAAGGACAGGTTTAGTTGCGTTAATGGCTCATTTTGTTTATTACAGATCAGAGCCTACTCATATTTTATATACTGCCGATCTCTGCTGCTGCTGTTATATTCTTGTTGATCGTAGTTGTGATGTGCTGCTTCTGCAAGAGACACAGAAAAACAGACCAAAAAGGCAGGTGTTACCTACTGCTGACACAACTGTGCAAATACCTGTCATCAACATTAAAATCATGTAGAAAAGTACTGATTATAATTTATTTTATTATTTAAAAGAAATTCAACAATAATGCTCAACATCAGTTAACTGTGTGTTTTGTTTCTATCATTGTGAAACGGTAGATGCTCGTGAGGAAGAGATCACATATGCTGATCCGACATTCTACAAAAGAAAAGCACAAAAATCAGTAAGTGCATTTTTTTACTGTATATTGTGTGTCTCTATTATTTCAACAGTGATATTTAGGTGTATGAGTGTTGACGTGTGTGTAATGCATAATCACGCACACAACAGCACAAGATCAGAAATATTTATGTTTAGTCTTTCTATAAATGGTCAGTAATTCTTCAATAAACGCATCTATGTGACATGAACGTGTTTGTGTTTTATTGCAGAAAGTTCAAGTGGAGGAAGACGTGGTGTATGCAGGAGTCGCTGTGAGACGCTGATCAAACTGTGACTCTGTTTAAGGGTTGTCATTTTTCTTGAACACAAATACCAAAAAAATTTGAAAAAAGGTGGATTAATTTATTAGTGTGGATGTGTTTGTGTGAAGTAGATGGACATTTCATGTCAGTGGAATCTGACACAGACCTTTGATCTCATAGTTTCCATTCTAAGATAATACTATTTTAGTAAATGGATTTTATCTCAGGGCTTTTGAACAGTGCTGTTTTGTGTATGTTTGAATTGTTTTCAGATGTTACTGTAGATAGTACTGCATCTGTGATACATTTGAAACTGATAGAACTTCAAAACTGGATGAACATGTTCTTTCAGTAACAGCTGTGATATATTTTACAGCACTAACCCTAACAAACCCTCAACTGTGGTCCTCGAAGTTCACTTTACTGCAGAGTTTACCTCCAACCCTGATCAAACTTACCTGCCTGAAACTTTCCAATATCCCTCAAGACCTTGATGAAAATGTTGATATGCAAGCTATATTTCAAGTTCCTCATATTTTAATGCTTTGTGCTTTATGTCTTTTTTGTACTACATTCAAATAAGCATGTAGATATTTATTTTTCTGCTTCATTATTGTGATCTGGTACAAATGAATAAACGCCAACCCAACACATGCTTTTGAAATATTCTTCAATTGTAAGTCTCTTTGGATAAAAACATCTACTAAATGAATAAATGTAAATGTATTACTCTCATAGACTTGTTTTACTCATTGCTGATTTAATTATTTTTACATCTTTAGTCTCGAAAAAATGAATCCACACATCTTGCATGGTAGAGTATTCTGCATCCCACAATACAATATGCTGGCCATCAGATGAAATTATACTTCCCAGTGATATCCTCTCCATTTCATTCTTTAGTACAAAATAATGTCATCTTTCTTCTGGTTACATTTACACCTTTGAATTCTGCTTACTTGTTCATTAAGCAGACACATTTATCAGAAAATAACAGACACAACTAGGCCATTCACTGTGATAAAAAAAACATATAAAACAATTACAATAATAATAATAAAAAAAAAAAAGAAATATATATATATATATATATATATAAACAACAACAAAAAATGAAATAAAATGACACATGACTTGGATAAAACTATTCTGTGACTATACTATTCTAAAACTATACTGTGTCTGCAGAGAGATACATATTCAAAACTTAAAAATGTCTTTTAAAAGGTGACAAACATTAACCTCATCATGGTTGCAGTTGTTTCTGTCAAAGGCCTGTTAAACAGTTCTAGAAAGATGCTGACCACTGGAGTAAAAAAAAACCGTTGAACATGAAATGAGAAGCAGAGAAGAAAAAAAAGGCTGACCACAGTCACACAGTCACAAAAATAAATGTATCAGTTTCTATTCCTCCTTTCTCTCAGTCTGATATTTATCTCTTATCACATCTATTTTAGCATGTTTTTGCATACTTGACTGTTGAACCACATGAGTTTTCTTGCATGCATTGATCTACAGATGTTTGGCCTGGTCAAGTAGGCCTGTCTCCATTGTGTTCAGCTGTTCAATCAGATTCAGGTGTCTTGTTTACTTCAGACAAAGATTTTATATACACAAAGACTTGCTGTGTTTGAAAACACCCCCATATACCCTCATTCACTTTTCCCTACATTAGTCCACTAAAAGAAGTGAATGAAAACAAGTGAGTGAATTCGGACACTGAGTTGGCCAGAAGCATAGTTTGTGCTTGCTGTTTAATAATTATTAGAAAACTTGGCAAACTGGCAGCTCCAGTAGTAATGAAAATATTTATCTTGAACTCTGTCGTGGAAACTAGCAAGTATAAACCTTGATTAAACTATTTAATAATTAATTAAAAAATAAATCTGTACCTGCATGATATTACACTGTTCCCACATTGGACTAGCGGTTTGGAAAATGTTCATTCATCATGACCCTCACAGTGCATCATGGGTATTCTCTAGCTGTTGAGTGTACATCAATTATAAACGTATTATTGCGGTGCATAATGGAATTGAATGAGTGCACTCGATAATGTCCACTGTGGTTTTGGACACTACTACAAATGGCTGGCCCCTCAAAACCAGCTCATCTGGTATTCAAAACTAGTCCAACCACAGCCAAAACTTATAGTCACATTTCTGGGGGAAACGGCAAAATTGCATCAAAATCATATTCCAGGGGAGATTAAAACCTCTTTCCAGGGGTTTCACCTCAGTTGAAAGGGCATTCTGGGGCGCAAGGGTTTTGCAATTTAATCGCTAATTGGTAAAGTCATTAGAAGCTCTGGTTGCTATAGAAACAGTCAGTATTCTGAGATGTGCACTCATGACTTCGCATGCACATTGGCTGGTCTAGCCTGATAAATGTTCTTTATTTTTTGAGTGTAAGAAACGTCTCAGGTTACGTATGTAACCATGGTTCCCTGAGAAGGGAACGAGACACTGCGTCCTCTAGGGTCGCTATGGGGAACGCCTTCAGCATGACCGGTATCTGAAGCATATATCTAAAAACCACAATAACGTTGCCTGGCAACAGCCTATGATGTCATTACCCTGCGCGATACAGTATAAAAGGGCGCCAGGATAACACGTCATCCGCTTCTTCGTCTGAAGCTTGCATCCGAAGCATGGCAAGGAAACTAGAGGACGCAGTGTCTCGTTTCCTTTCTTAGGGAACCATGGTTACATACGTAACCTGAGACGTTATGCCCACGCCACCTTGCTGAGGGGAGTGCCATTATGTCAGCATAATGTCAGTGACATTATCCTCTTCGGCCAAGGGCCTGAGCTGCATACCCTAAAATAACTTACCTGTTAAGGACTGGGCTAGGAAGCCCAAGCCTAGGGCAGAGCTCAAGGCTTGGAATAAGAAGAAAGAGATTTCTTTAAGGGGATACGGTTAGGTGTCTAAAAAAACCACACCAGACCCTGGCCTGTCACCCAGGGGGGGCTACCACCGGTTCTGAATTTTAGAAAGTGCACAGAATGCTTAGCGTGCACACTTACCACAATGTGGATTTAAGAAAGTGCACAGAGCTTAGTGTATGCACTTACCATAGCATGGATTTAGAAACACAGTTTCTTAAGTGGTAACCGAGGCTGTATTAAGCCAGCCTAGGGACCCTATGTGACTGTGGCACGCTCACAGAACAGATTCCGAAGCATCTGCTCACAGATGCCCAGAAGTCCTCAGACACTCAATCGGGAGCGGCAGGCTCAAAGACAACCCTCTGAGGTGAGGGGAGCTCACCCTGCTCAAAATATTTATCAACAGAGATACATTAGTTGAGTGGAGCCCAAGGCGAGAACCGGGGCCTAAGCCAACTCAGAGAAAGGGAACGAGGGTGACAGCGCATAACCCTTACCATACAGGATTTTAGAAAGTGTGCAGAGTGCTTAGCGTGCACACTTACCACAATGTGGATTTTAGAAGGTGCACAGAAGCTTAGCGTGTGCACTTGCCAAAGCATGGATTTAGAAAGATTCCGATGCATCTGCTCACAGATGCCCAGAAGTCCTCAGACACTCAATCGGGAGCGGCAGGCTCAAAGACAACCCTCTGAGGTGAGGGGAGCACTGCCTGGCTTGACCCGAATAGAGGCAGCTTATCAGGGAAGCAGCAAGCTGCCCAATTACCTGATGTCACTGCCACGGAGCTCAAGAGCGGAGGGTTCAACCCCTAGCGATGAGAGAGAGGAACCCAGTTCGACTGAAGCAACCAATAGCCCAGGGTAGAGGACCTAACTCTCAATTCGAGAGGAGAACTCTCCCAGTCTGCCCAGCACCGGCGTGCTCAAGGGACCATCCCGCAGTGAGAGGAGCACAGCCATGTCCGGGGGCAGATAGATCGCAAATGGGACATCAGAAATGGGATCCTGCTAGAAGGGGATCACACATTTCTAAGGGAACAACAGGGTCCCAATATAAAGGCAACTAACCAAGGAGGCAACAGAGATAGGCCTAACACTTGCAAATGGGGTTCTTCGGGAGCAGTGCTCTTGGCTCTCAAGCTGAGGCGGTCCCTTACAGCACATAATGGGAGTGACTCATAGCTAACCCTCACAGAGAGGGGAGCACTTATCAGCTCGACCAGAAGGGGGCGCTAGATTAGAAGGGGTAATCCAGCAGGGCCCAATAAGAGACAGTCCACTGGAGCAGCTGGACACGGTCTCAGGCTCGCTATCTCGATAGAGAGCGTGGGTCCCATATAACCAGACCCAATAAAATCTGAAGAAAAAAGCAGACCCAATAACCATTCATGCATATAGAGCTTACTGCTCCTCAGAGCAGAAAGCACAAAAGAGGGGTTTCCACAGAAACACAAATCCCTCTTATCTCAGGGAACACAATGTACTCCAGCCCACCCCGCAGATGGGTGATTACTGGTTCAACCATAAGGGCAGTGTGACAGTGAGGACCCATGTGCCTGACCGTCTATGGAGCGTTGAGCTCTTCAACGCCTCAGCGAGAGGAGCTCTAGCTCAGAGAACGTGCATGAAGGTCAAGGAATGACTCAAATTTCGGGAGACCCCTCAGGGTGATAAATGAGTAGCACACCCTGGCCAGAGGATAGTGAGCATGTGACGAAGCATGTACTCAGAAGAGTACTAGCCCACGAGAAGGACCCGCAAGTCCTGAGGTTGCAGCGCTATACTGGAGACCTGATGCTGGGGGGCTTCCTCAGGAGCCCAGGCTGCATGTCCAAACGAAGACGAGGGCTATCACCAGCCTGGATCCAAAACCATGAGTGAAACCATCACTGTAATCTTTCAACAGCAGGAGGTCCTGACTTAGCAGGTGGGTCAAACCTAAAAGTCAGAAAACAGAACAAAGCCTGGATCTTCGTGGAATGAAGGTTTTAAAGGCAGCCGAGCGCATCAAGAAGAAAAGCCCTTCTCTTTCGACCCGAAAACCGCCTGACTCACCCTCAGATGTCTCTCCATAACCACTATGTCCGCCATGGATCTGCCAATGGCAGTGGCGGCCTGTTTAGTGGCACGGAGAGCAAGATCCGTGGTACGACGCAAAACAGTCACTTCATCAGGAGATAGACCCTGCCTTTATCCACATTCAGCAGATCAGCCTGATAAGCCTGAAGCACTGCCATGGTGTGCAATGAGGCTGCAGCCTGACCTGCTCCCGCGTGTGCCCTGCCATTCAAACGAGAAGTATCCTGAAGGGGTTTGGACGGCAGGGAGAAAGCCTTAAGAGAAGATGTCTCCCCCATAGAGAGATAGCAGGCCAGCGTCTCTTCAACAGGGGGCATCTTTCATAACCATTCCCACGGATTTGTGGGGCAGGAGGGGTTAACTTCAAGCCGGAGTGCAGTAAAATGTGGTTATCTGAGAAGGACATTATATAAATCATCTGTCCAACAACTGCAGACAGATCCACACTATACAATTCCTATAAACAAAAATTTATTACTGATAGGGAGAAATTCCCTGTCAGGCTCTTTCCATGTTCTCACCGCGACCGCAACTCGCAGCATAAATTCAACTCCCGCCCAAACGCTAGATTACCTCAGAAATCAAGCGAGAATGGAAACCGCTGCCGCGAATGCATCGCTATTCCAGCGAGAGGCGAACGCACTCATGCAAACGCTACCTAACAACTCGGGAAAATGGTGAAGTACTCACCTCCCACTTAGTAGTCCCGTGAATGCATCACGATGAGCACAAGCCATATCCTCATGAGACGAGCACATTCAATTCATGCTTATCCCTCACAAGAAATAAGCAATGAATGCAGAGGGCATCCAACTCCTACGGGAGCTGAACGTGCTTGCTCTTCACCACACACACACACACACAGACAGCACGCGAACCGTGTGAAACTGCAGGTATCAGAGCAAAGCCTCTCGCGAGAGAACATGCACTTCTAGTCGTGTTTAGCACGATAAACAAACAATCAGTGATGATGAAGAAGAGGATGACTTGTTATCCCGGCTCCCTTTTATACTGTATCGCGCAGGTTAATGATGGCATAGGCTGTCGCCGGCCAATTATTGTCGTTTTTAGATATATGCTTCAGACACCGGTCTTTTGTCAGATGTTGTAATTTCAAATGTCAAATGTGAGCAGCTAAGGCAACAACAGATGAGTTCAGTAACAATCTGAAGCTTTTTCTGAGGATTTCAGTTTTTATATGAACAAAACATTTTTTTTTGTGCAAACATAGAAGCAAGTGGTCAATTGATAGCAGAAGAGAAAGGGGGGGAAACACTTTAGAAACTGTAGAGACACTTTAACCGAAAATGTGCTGCGGTTTTAATGCAATTCTGCTAAAATAAATGCTGATAAGCAGTTCTTCACGAAACTGAAGCGCTCAGGAGCCAGATGTGTCAAAAAAGCTGCAGTTACTTCTGCTTTTATGCATGCAAACATGTGCGAGATATATAAGTGTGAAAAACAGCACAAACTGACCGGTACATCAGAAAGTTTGCTTTTAATACTGAACAATGAAATTCAACATATGTGAAGATTATAGAAAAGATAGATTTTCTATAATCTTCACATATGTTGAATTTCATTGTTCAACATATGTGAAGATTATAGAAAAGATAGATTTTGTTTGTACTATGTTAAACTTCAGATTCCTTTTATTTTAACATTTAATTTTAATGGCGTACAGACAGTACGTCTCTCCTAAAGATCCTGCTGGAGCGCCAACTTGTGACCGAACATGAAAAAACAAGGCCTTAAAAACTGGAAACTTTGTAAATACTTTTATATTAACTGTGAAAAATTTACATAACCCAATAAAAATATACTGTATATTTTTTCTAAATTATGTATGAGATCAGTCTGATGCTGTTTTTGATTCAGATTTGATCTGATCATCATCACTAGAAGCTACTGTGAAAATCATTCGGCATATTGTTCACCAATTTGTGTTTGATCAGGAAACATTAAAATACTTTATTAGCAGCTCAGTTTCCTTTAATGTCTTTAATGTCAGTCATAGTGATGGTGATTGAATTCATCCTTGTTTCCAGAGATGAATTCATGAAATGGTCTTCTTCCAGTAATATTGTGCTTTTAAAATACATGGACGTTCATAATACTTGCATTTTTGAGCATTTTCATTTTATATGTATTTTCAGTGGGTCATGGTGTGTATTATTTTCCTCTCTTCTCTTCTGGTTAGTGTGGCCTGTTCACCCCTGCTGGTAGATGTTGTAACTACACTCTGGGAACAGATGGCATCTTACTTCTCTGAAAGCCTTCTCTGTTGGCAAACGGTCAAGGATTATGGTTCCTGCATTTGCTGTGTTTTGTTTATGCTTGTGGCATCTGGTTGGTAAGTTGAATGTTTTTTAGTAGAGCAATACAGTTCTGTAAAAAATCTGCAACCATTATTTCACTGTTAATCCCATTAAAATACACCATAATATTCTTTTATTTTCTTACCAATGTGTTGTTAGTTGTGGTCCACTATTTCAATTTGCATTATCTGACTTACTCATAACTTACTTATAAACTAGTACAAAACAAAAGTTTAGTTAATCTTAAACTTGTTAATCTAATCCTGTCAATCACACAAGTATATACAAAATAAAATAAAATAAAATAAAATAAAATAAATAAATAACTGAGAAAAGTAAGAAAAAAAATCCAAGCCAACTTGGTGTATTCAGTTCTCTATTGTTTAAAGGGTTAGTTCACCCCAAAATTTAAATTCTGTCATTAATTACTCACCCTCATGTCGTTCCAAACCCATAAGACCTTCGTTCATCTTCAAATTAAGATATTTTTGATGGAATCTGAGAGCTCTCTGACCCTCCCATAGACAGCAACACAACTGCAATGTTCCCAGACACAGAAACGTAGTAAGGACATTGGTAAAACAGTCCATGTGACATCAGTGGCTCAACTTCAATTCTGCGAAGCTACGAGAATACTTTTTGTGCACAAAGAAAACAAAAATAACAATTTATTTAACAATTCTTCTCCCCCGAGTTACGTCTTCTGCCATTTTGGAGAGTACCCAAGAACATAATCAGCGTTGTTTACATTAGGGGGGAAAGCGCGCGCATGAACGTAATCGGCGTAATCAGCGTTGTTTACACTTTAGAGTAAAGCGTGCAAATGCGTTGTGA